AATCTTATTTTAAGTTGACAAGTCATTTCTTATTAGATCCATGGTTCTCAACATCAGCTGCATAATAAAAAAGTATTATGCCTGAGGTACTTTTATAATAGTAATCTCTCAGCCCATCCCCCCAAATTCTGATTTAATTAGTCTGAAGTGGATTCCAGGCACTGGCAATTTTTTTATAGCTCCCCAGGTGATTCTAAAGGGCATCTAGGGTTGCAAATCACCGTTCTTGGCAGAACCCAGCTTCTCCTTCCCAGGGGTGATAAATCTCTGCTTTAGCCATAATGAGGTTGCAAGGTGAAGAGAAGAGTGTATGGATTATTGGGAGGAAAAATACCCAAAGAAGTATTTTAAAAATATTTCCCTCTTAAACATAAATTTGTTGAATATGTAAAATGAAATAAAAATGCTAGAGCAATAAGGTCACAGCAAAAAGTTCCCAGCTCAGAGCCCTGTTTTATAGTCAGGTGCAATGGTTCTCAACCAAGCTGCCTGTGAGACTCAGCTGAGGAACATTTGAAAATATTAGGACTCTGGGCCCACTCCAGACCAATTCTATCAGAATCTCTGGGGTGGAGCCCAGGCATCAATGTATTTTTCTTAAATCCCCAGGTGAGTCTAATGTGGTCAAGGTTGAGGACCATTAGTCTGGATAAGACAATTTTTCTAAACATCTTGAAATTTGGATCATAGATTGTTCCATTTTTTAACACAAGAAGACATTTTAATTTTTATATGTGGACCTGAACACCATGAAGTTTTGTCCATAAAATGTGATTAAACGGTATTTTTGGTAAGCCTGGCTATGAATTTTAGTTGGAATGTGGCAAACCGAGTGAGTTGGACAAAAAATAGTAAGTTTCCATGGATGGTTGCAGACATGCAATGTAGACATTTAGTTGATAACCAAATATCTTGTAGGGTAATGTTGGCACATGCCTGGATATGCCCTTCACCCAAAATGATGGCTCTCTTGGACGCATGGCTCCCACATGAAGTGAGTTCTGTAAAAAAAAAAATGTTTCTCTGGTAGAAATGTATCACCAGCTAAAGATTCGTAGAGAGGGTCGAGCATAGTGGCTCATGCCTGTAATCCCAGCACTTTGGGAGGCTGAGGCAGGTGGATCGCTTGAGGTCAGGAGTTCAAGACCAACCTGGCCAACATGGTAAAATCCTGTCTCTACTAAAAATACAAAAATTAGCTGGGCATGGTGGTGCACGTCTGCAATCCCAGCTACTTGGGAGGCTGAGGCAAGAGAATCACTTGATCCCAGGAGCTGGAGGTTGCAGTGAGCTGAGATCACACCACTGCACTCCAGCCTGGGTGACAGAGTGAGACTCCATCTCAAAAAAAAAAAAATAGAGAGTATTTCCCACTTTCCCATTAACAAAGTGAATCAAAGTGGTGTGCAAGATTTCCAGAGGAAAAACAGAATTCAAGCATGCTAGGCCAACAATGGAGAAGCAGCAAAGGAGCCAGTGTTTGACTCAGAGGCCCAAGCATAATAAACATGTAGACTGGTCTGAAGATCATGCAGAAAGCATCAGTGTATTGGCCATTGAATCACTGTTTTCCTTAAAATGAATTCCATTTCTTAAAATTACTTTGTAAACTAACATTTTCAAGTATACTTTTAATTTATGGCAAAACCACAAAAAAGAGAAGCAACTTAGTGTGACATAAGAGCACTAATTAAGAGTCAGGTTTTGACACTAGCTACGTGACTTGGGCAACATATTTTATCTCAATATCTGAGTTTCTATTTCTTCATTTGTAAAATGAGTCTAGTTTGATTCTTCTCAACCTTGGCTGATCAGCAGAATCCCTAAGGAGGTGTTAAAACATACCACTTTCTGGGTATCTCTCCCAGATAGTATGATTTAATTGGTCTGGAATGGGGCCCAGGCATCAGTATTTCTAAAATATTTCCAAGTGAATCCAATGTGGATACAAGCTGAGAAGCACTGCACTGGATGAGTTCGATGCTCCTTTCAGCTCTCATCTTCCTTTGGGCTTGGGAGTCTTGGCTTTTGGGAGTGTCTTAGCCATTAGAAGACTTAGTAACCAATGATGGATACATCCCACAACACTCAAGGCTAGTACTTGGCCTCTTAAGAGAGTCACCATTTTTGTTTTTAAAAATGACTATACATATCAATCAGCTAAAAAATCTAAAGCAGCTTTAAAAATAGGTTTCTAAATATGCTGTGCCTCTGACATTTTGTACTGTCCTGAGAAGATATTCAATAGCCCTTCCCATAGTGTCACCAAAAGCTTTCTTGATTCCACTTCAACCCTTCCTAATGTCTTTCGGGCATTTAGGCCTTGGGCCTGCATTTGTTTCACAGTTGGACTCGAAGTGCTGATTCCTATTTCAGTTTGGATTTGCTGCCAGGTCTCCCAGCCCAAGTTCAGTTTCCCATGGGTTGGCTGAACCATCAGTGTAAAACAGCAAGATAACATCCCAGAGCTGGAGCTCCTCCAGCCATGTTATGTCAGGAGAACCGATTCCATGTTGGCCTCACAGGGTCACTGTGTTCTCACAGCCAGGAAGCCATCCTGGAAGCACATGGATGGATGACTCCGGCATTTCATTTCAACGCCATCCAGTCTCTCATTCCAGCTGTCGAGAGCAAACCAAAGGGAGAAAAAAAAAAAAAAAAGTCCAAAGAAGCACTAGTTCAAGGCCAGTTTCAGAAATCAAGTGTTTAAATAAAAGTTATGATCCAGAGTGAAATTCTGGACTCTGATAAATTACAAAATTTAAACCAGAATAAAGGTAGGTAGCTCTAAACACTCTGGTCAGTAAGTTTCTGAGTTGATTGACTGAACAATCCAGTTAATTGCTTCTACCTGCACTTCCTTTTGGCTATGGAGACAGTTTCTCTATATTAAAACTTAGAAACAATTGCCTTCCCACCTGAAGGTTAAAATGACAATGTAAAACTATATCTGGCAAAAAGTTTGATCTTTGGATCAAGGGATTAGATTGGTTTTAGTCAGGTAAATTTAATAGCCTAGAGAAAACTATTTTCAAATTACTGCAATCTTTGTAAACCCAAGATTTTCTCAGTGTATGAAAGAGTTAGCAGGGCCACCCAGGTCTTTATATGGAGTTGGCCTGGAGTTTCTGCTTACCCACATAATCCTCATTTTCAAGATTAAAAATCATAGTAATAAGAAGGTTTCTTGAGTTTTGTCATTATTCATCATTAAATTCGTCTAGATCCTTCATGCCAGAAGTAGAAACAAGATAGAAACCGAGTGCTTAGGAAAAGGTCAGGACAGATTTAAACATGGTCCACTCAACAGGTCAGCCTGTTGAGTTAACCTGCTCTTAGGCTACTATGCCAGCTGTCGCCCACCACGTCCTTACCCTGGTCCCACTCATCACCATGTCCAAGGAAAATGTCCAAAGGAAATCTCCAACCCTACAGAATAGTGAACGAGTACCCAGTTACCTTTAGGATTAACCTACACTGATAACACAGAATGTGGAATTCCCCTAGAAATACTGAGGCCAAGAATAGGCACCAGATCTCATTTGAGGAACACAGGCTGATGATTTTCCAAACTATTCGAGTGTTGGATGCCCACAGACACTGCGCTATCTGCACCATAAGGCTGTATAGCTCACTGGTGAAGAACACAGGACTTACGAGACTAATCTTGGTTCCATTCCCAAGTTCTACATTCACTTGCAGGGAGATCTTAGACAAGTTACACAAATTCTTGGGCCTCAGTTTCTTCCTCTGAAAATGGAATATGGGGATTGAGGCAATGCACAACTGAAAAACAAGAGGGTCTCAAGAAATTATAGTTATCTTGACTATCCTTTATAATTACCTAGAATGATGAAACTATAACTGAATCCATTATGGTAAGGATTCTCAGAGCCATATTTTGTGGATTGGCTTAAGTTTTCAGTGAGTGCTTTTGACACTTTTAATTGTACACCAGAGCAGGGAATGTGGTACAAAGCACTGGCATTGGCAAAGGCTAACATAGATATTGCTTGGGAAATGAGTAGGAGGCATAGCTGTCAATGGCTCTTCAGCCTGATTCATATTAACCAGGGCAAGGCCAAGGTGGCTCCATTAAACACCTTCACTAAGGATATTTTCCAAGGAAACACTTTTATAAGTTTCAGATACAAGCTAAAAGTGACATTGGGTTAAGGAAACATCTTAAACAGGTTTTCTTTTTTTGGAGATTGCTTTAGCAGTTAGATTGAATTTATGCTTGGCACATCAGCTCTTTGTATATGAGAGCAAGAGCCTCTAACATGTTAGAATGGATTAAGAAAGGTTATACTCAAGTATTTTAAAGTTTTTTTAAAACACTCTATTGGTGATATGTGTAAACCTCATAAGCTTTTGTTCCCTAGGCAGAACAAAGATGAATTCCAGTTCCTGACCAAATTAGCACTTACATTCATCATAAAATGGGGGTAGTAGTGTCACTTTCCTTAAAGGACTGAGCTGAGGTTTGTAAAGCATTTAACAAAGCATTCAGCACAGTGTAAATGCTCACAGTCAAGGTTAACTGTTGTTGTCGTGGTTGTGGGTTTGTTGCTGCTGTTATTCCATCATTCAACAGACCTGTGCCAGACACAGTGAATTCCAAGAAGAATACACCAGTGGTCCAGTCCCTCAAGACGCACAAAGCCTCCAGGGAGGCTGGATGTGCAAATGTGTTCTCATACAAAGCAGTAACTTCTTTAAGGTCTGAAAAAAGCTCTATAAGTACCCAGAGGGGAGCCGAGGATTACCTTCACAGAGGAGATCATCTTTTATATGGGAACAAGTGGGAATTTGCCTAGCAAGTGAAAGGGTTTGCAAGGCAGAGAAAATAGCACATGCAGAAGCTTGAGTTAATGAAAAGTCATAGTGAGCTTTGAGGAACAGTGGTGAGTCCTGGGTTACTAAAGTAGAGGTCACCCGAGGAGTGCCAAGAGAAGTGCTGGAGAGTTGCTGGGAGCCCGAGTGTGAAAGATCTTACAGAGTAAGCTGAGGATTTGGCACTGATCCCACTAGCCACAGGCGTCAACAGATTTCATGGGGGAAATAATGTGATTTGATTTATATTTTATTAAGATAAGTTTGGTGCCAACAGGGAAAGACAGAAACTGGAGTTTAAAAACACAGGAGGTGAGGCCTCCGGAGTGGAACAGCAGAAAGCCACTCACTGCTTGGTGGGGGGTAACAGCCCCACTCACTTCACTGAACCCTCTATGCAGTGGCTGTGCTCAGAGTTGATTGGCTGCCACTGGGGCCTCGTGGGTCCCTGCAGTCCATCTGAAGAGGAGAAGACCTGAGGGATGAGAAACAGGACTTTAGCTGGCTGCTCAGTGCAGACACTATGCTGAAGAGACCTGCAGTGTTTCCAAACAATGCCAGAAATTAGCTCTTCTTTTCACCCATAAGAAAAATCCTTCATCTGTCCCAGAAATCCCATTAAAGTGGACATATTGATGGATAAGAACTGAAGATGGTACATGAGGACTCCTAGGTTATGTCCCCAACCTTCCATTCAAGTCCCTCACCTTAATTCGTATATTTTGTTTCATTTTTGAAATATGCTTGGGGAATTATGTTTGGAAGATGAACTTCAGAAGAGGAGCCATATTAAGCATAAAAAACAGGATGACCAACTATCCTAGTTTGTCCAACACTGTTCTAGTTTTAGCATTGAAAGTCCACCATCCCAGAAAACTGAACCCCCCCTGCCCTCCCCCACCATCATCTCAGGCAAACCAGGATGGTTGGTCACCCAAAAGGGCTACTATAAACACTGTACTATGGAAAAAGACTGTGATTCAGCATTTATGAAATTCATAACTGATAGATATGACTTTTACTTGGGGAAAACTAGGCAATGAATTTTTCTCTATGTAATTTTAGGGTGCCATACATAAGAACTCAACTTTCTTCCGCTAATAAAGCTGACATGTTTACTTATAAAAGATAGGAAACAGGAAACTAATAACAATAATAATAGTGACGGTTAACATATTGGGCATGCACTGTATTCCAGGCACTGTTCTAAGTGCTTTACATAAATAAGTCATTTAATCTTCGCAATAGCCTTACTATATTCATCCCCATTTTACAGATGAGCAAATGGAGGCACAGAGATCATATACATAATAAATGTACATGGTGGAATTTGGATTTGAACTCAGGCTGCCTAGGTCCAAAGTCCATACTTTCAAATATTTCCTATATATAATGTATAATAACTCATTTATTACGCCCCCACTATGTACCAATCATTTTACTGAGTGTGCATTCTATAAAGTACCTCATTTAACCCTCACAATAGTCTGTCTGGTACCAGATAGGTCATTCATTCATTTATTATTTGTTGAGCTTACGCTTGTTTAAGAATCATAATATTGTATTTTTGTAGGTGAAGGAGGATAGGGGTTTGGACTAAAGTAGTAGCAGTGAAAATGGATAGGGGAGGTAAGATTCAAGAAAATTTTCTGAAGTAAAAATGTCAGAATATAATGATTAGTTGAACACAGGGAATGAGGGAAAATAAATTGTTTAGGATAACCCTGGGATTTTGACCTGAGGGACTGGATGGGTGGTAGTCTACCAATCAAAATCAAAACTACAAGAAGATCTACCTTGAGAGGTGCTGAACGTTTGTGTCCCCCTAAAATTCATATGTTGATATCCTAACCCCCAGTGTGATGATATTAGAAGGTGGGGCCTTTGAAAAGTGATTAGGTCAGGGGGCAGAGCCTTCATGAATGGAATTAGTGCCCTTATTAAAAAAGAAAAAAAAAAATCTTTGCCCTTTCTGCCACATGAGGACACAGTGAGAAGACAGTCATTCATACACCAGGAAGCAAGTCTCACCAGACACCAAATTTCCCAGCACTTTGATCTAAGACCTCCCAGCCTCCAGAAAAGTAAGAAATAAATTTCTATTGTTTATAAGCTATCCAGCCTATGATAATTTGTCATAGATGCTCACAGGGACTAAGACAAGAGAGAAGTTAACGAGTTCATGCTGAAATGTATTAAGTTGCAGCTACTAAAGAGCATACCAGTTGATATGACCAGAAAGCCTGGAAACTTGTATCTGCAGTTCAGTAGCAATGGTTGGAAGCCAGTATCCTAGACTTGGTGATTAGGGTCACAGGTGTAAGGAAGATTGTCCAGAGAAGATGACAAATGATAAAGCCCTAGGGAATGTCAACATTTTAGGGAGAGCAGAGGAGAGCCTGCCAAGGAAGCTGGGAAGACTTGAGAAGAGGTGGGAGGAGAACCAGGAAACAAGTGGTTGCCTGGAAACCAAGGGAGGAGCAGGTGATGGTCAACAGGGCCAGTGCTGCAGAGAGGACAAACAGGAAGAGGGCTGAAGACAGATCATTATGACCAGGGTCTGATTTGGGATGGAGGGCACCAGATCAGAACATGACCAGATAGCAGCAAGTCATCCCACTCCTGATCTTAGCCCCCTGACATTCCCTCAGCCAGGAATAAAATCAACCCCAATGCTGAGGGCAAGACTAAGTCTGCCCCCTGGGGAGTTGGGTACTCCAGCTTCTGAGCCTGAAAGTTAAAGGAGCAGGGTAGGGGCCAGGCAGAGAGGCCACTGCTGTTTACACATTCATTTCCAGGCGCTCCTTCAGGCTATAAGACCAGCTCTAAAAAGCCACAGAAACAAAACACAAAGCAAAAGAAAACAATTTAAAAACAAAACAACGAAACCAAAAATAAAAATAAAACCACACACACACACACACACACACACACACACACACTTCCTTTTATAGCAGGAAAAAAAAGAAAAAATAATTCTACCTAATGAAATTTTCTGGACAGGTTTATGGCTGCCTGTTTATGGCTGCCTGACCTCCAACCCCGGGCTGGAGAATAACTGAGTTTTATTAAACATCAGCAAAATATGAATGAAGAGAGGGACAACCTTTCCAAGGGTCTCATTTCATTTCCAAGCCCAAATAGCTCACAGTTGACCTTGAAACTATGGAACATCATTTTCCCTTCAAGATGATAGAGAAAAGACAAAGTCGTGACAGGGTTCTGAATGGGAACCATTACATTCATGTGAAGCAGCTCTGTTTTTAATACCCCCTCGGGAGAAAACATAGAAAGTTATGAGCTGAGCTAAGGAAAGATGCGTGAATGCAAATCTGACCCTCATTCAACTCTAGACAATTCAGCTGGAGAAAAAATCATGTTATCTGAAGTCAGATGTTTGACCTTCTTATGTGAATTGCCATTATTTATCTCCACTCCCTAAGTGGTATTGCCTGGGTCCATTCTTATGCTCTGAAACCAGGCTCCACATCTAAATCTGTGTGATCATCCAAGCATTACGAGGTCTCCCCACTAGTCTACCACACTTCATTTTTCAAGTAGCAGGAGGATTGAGCAGAGCATTTCTGTGGGGAGAGACCCAAACAGGCCGCCCCCAAACTGCTTCCTTCAGGCTGATAAGCCCCCATCGTAAATTATGCCACAACTGGAGGCTTCAGCCTCTTGCCATTAGCTTGCCTTTCTTTTGGAAAGATACCAGTTCTGTCCCCTGAAATAAATCCTTTATTTTCAGCGTCCTAGAGGATTCCAAGGATCAGGAAAAGGAGCAAGAGAAGCCCCTCAGTTCCAGGGCAAATCATCCCACGCTGCTGTTTCCAAGCCTCAAGCTAACATCTCATTCTGGCTGCGCTCCCTTCTGGATCTCAGCAGCAGTTCTACCACAGGATGATGTGGTATTTCCAGTCTTCCACTTCACCATCCCCCACACCCGCTTTCCAGCTGTTGTCAAAGCAACAGGAGAATTCACTGGGAGATTCAATGAGGAGAGATGGTCAGGTGGGAGGGGTGGGACAGGAGGAAAACATACTGAGATAAGAAAAGCACTTGGTCCTCAGAGAACACATTCCTGGAATGCTGGGCTGCATGTCCATGGCACATGCTTTCACACTGACTCCTGGATCTAAGTCTGAGCTTTAGAATTCATTTTCTTTGGCCTCAAAAGGTTCTCAGACCTGGAGCAAGATAAAGAGAGGGAGACGCAAGGCTCTTGGGTTCATCTTCAGAACACCAGTTTGCACACTGTAGCCTACGTGCCTGCATGGGTCCAAAGATACACATTGACTGGAAAGACCTTGACCCAGCCTGCTCCAGCTCTATCCTATCCTTCTAGTCAATGACCCTGCTAAAAGCAAGGAAAGTGGCTGCCTGAACCCTGAGGCTATTAAGGCCTAGACTGGACCCGTGAGCGCCTGAGCTTAAATCCCAGCCCTTTCCAATTCCAAACATTTTTCCCCAGATAAATCACTTTTTCTGGTCATGTCATCAACTACTTGTGCATTATTTAATGGATCAGCCATATGGATGAGTCAGTTTGGCTGTGGGGGCTGCCAAAAGTAAAACCCCAGTTGATTTGGTGGGTTTCTTAAAAATCTTATTGACAGCAATTTAATTCAGTCAAGCTGTATTTCATCCTGGGACAGTTTCAAACCTTGGAAGAAGGGGAATCACCATGTCAACTATCTCGACTGGAAACTGGGTTCTGAGGCTGTGATGATGCATGTGTCTATAGCAACTCTGGGGAAAATAGTCCATTTAAAAGTTGCAACAGTGACCTCCAAACTTTGGGAGGGGTTATAACATCACATAGCCATTTGGTTCTGTACGGACTCTATCTCCAAACATACAAATTAAAGTTGAGCATGCCGGTGCCTGGGCACGCCGTGGGGCCTGGTCAGAGGCAGGTGCCCAGCCTGGCCTGACCCCACGTACTCCCCACCCTCTGCACTCTGATGCTGAGTGGGTGCCAACCCCATCCCAGCCAGGATGATGGTGAAGTATTTCCTGGGCCAGATTGTGCTCTGGAGGTCATGGGACCAAGTGTTTGCTGCCTAATGACAGCGGTACACAAATCCCTACAGCAAGCACAGTACACGGGGTGGTGACCCTTGAGCAGAAGCTCGTGCCCTGGCAACCTGATCAAGACCAGCAGACACCCCGCTGGGCTGAGCCACTGTTTCCTGCCAGTGCCGCTCGCTCGGTGTCCATCCTGGAACACTCTACTGTGAAGCCACAGAATCAGACATGACCACCTCACCTGGAACATCAACCACATCTGGCTGTGGTTGTGGAGGAACCATACACTTACTCTGACAGCAGTGCCTGGACCCAAATCCACTGGAAAGCCTGGATCTCCTTTAGCTTATTTAACCATCTCCAGAGCTGTTCAGGAATTTGGTCTCACCCAATTCAAAACCAACGTGATTAAGACTGGGAAGGGTTTTGAATACATCTTGGCCAAGCTGCACAGTATGGCCCCTTCCAAAACACTTATTGAGACAGCTAAAGGAGCCAAGGAGAAGGCAAAGGAGACAGCACTGGAAGCTACAGAGAAGGCCAAGGACCCAGCCAGCCAGGGATCCCCCAAACAGCAGCTGCAGTTAGTGTAGCCAGCCCATCATGCTGCAGTACCCCAGACAGCTCGGACAACTTTCTCTGCCCTCTCCCCATTGTATGTTATCATTAAAACTCAACTTCTAGCCCCCAAAAAGAAATGTTTAAAAATACTTAAAGTAAATTGTAAATGATTTTTATTTTGAGATGTCTGTGGGAATTTCATTATAACCTTGCATTCTCTTAGACACTTAAGGTTTCTCCCACAAAATTCAGCAAGGAATCAACCTTCTGCCCCTTAGGTCAGGAAATAGTCTTACCAATGCTAAGAAGGAGAGCAAAGTTTTTCCAAAGTTAAGGCTCCCTCTAGGGCAACGTATATGACGTGTTCAGATAAGGCTTTGAGCATTAGTTCTTGCCCTATCCCAGCACCTCAGCCTATACCTGCTCCTCAGAGAAGGCTGCATTAGAAAGCTTCATGGGGTTCTCATGGAAAGAGGGTGGCTAGGGAGAGAAACTCCCCACCTTCTTCCATGACACCATGTCTGCCAATAATAATGGCGAAAATTTATTGAACTTTCACTATGTGCTAGGCACTATTCTAAGTGTACTCCCTAATCTAATCCTTATAAAAACTCTCTAAAGGTGGTACTGTCATTATCTCTACTTTACAGGTGGGGAAACTGAGACACAAAGAAATCAAGCAACTTATCTAGAGTCATACAAGAAATAAGTAACAGTGCCAGGATTCTAGCAAAGGAAGTCTGACTGCGGGGTTCATCTCTTAACTGCTATATCCCAGCAGCTCTGGAACCTGAGCAGGAAGAAGCATCTGGAAGGCTTGGTAAAATACAGATTGCTGGGCCTTGCTCCCAGAGTTTCTGATTCAGTAGTCCTGGGTGGGACCCGAGGATTTATTTTTCTAGCACATTCCAGGGTGACGCTGATGATATTGGACCACACATTTGAGAATCACTGTCTATGCTATTCTATCTCTGGAGAAAATTATTGATAGAACTCCTTCTTCTTCCCCACACACTTCTCCATTCCAGATACAAAGCTCCATGAGAGATGAGTTATACTGAGTAATCTCATAAGATCAGCTAGCCAGTCTTTCAGGAGGGCTCAACTATTTATCAGATATCATTGTGTCAAGACCCATTGGGCTTCCAGGAGCAGAATCCCAGCCTTCTGGGTGGGGCCTCTCTGGGCCACTGACTGGAAATGCAGTCCATGGGAAATTAGGGTCCAGACTGGCACCTCTTCATTTTTCTATCTGAACTCACTCCTTTGTTGATAACACATTGTTTCTAAACATAAGAGTGTTATTAAGCAACAGCCAGGCCAAGATGGGGGGATTGCTAGAGGCCAGGATTTCGAGACCACCATGGGCAACTGGGCAACAAGTTCCCATCTCTACAAAAAAAAAAAAAAAAAATCAAAACATTAGCCAAGTGTGATGGCACACACCTGTGGTCCTAGCTACTCAGTAGCCTGAGGCGGGAGGAACACTTGAGCCCACGAGGTTGAGACTGCAGTGAGCCAAGATCAGCCACTGCACTCCAACCAATCTGGGCAACAGAGGGAGCCTCTGTCTCTAAAAAAAATAAGACGACGCAAGAGTAAATCTCATTTGTTTGCTAAAACTTTCTTTTAGATGTTTTTAAAGTTAGTATATCTCCCCAGGTTAATTGATTGATTGATTGAGTGATTGAGACAGAGTTTCACCCTTGTTGCCCAGGCTAGAGTGCAGTGGTGTGTTCTCGGCTCACTGCAACCTCTGCCTCCCAGGTTCAAGCAATTCTCCTGCTTCAGCCTCCCGAGTAGCTGGAATTACAGGTGCCTGCCACCATGCCTGACTAATTTTTGTATTTTTAGTAGAGATGAGGTTGCACCATGTTGGCCAGGCTGGTATCGAACTCCTGACCTCAGATGATCCACCCACCTTGGCCTCCCAAAGTGCTGGGATTACAGGCATTAGCCACCATGCCCAGCCTCCCCAGGTTAACTTATAAGCTCATTCATGTATTCATTCGCTTCAGAGTCACTTCAGAAATATGTGTAGAACAACGAAATATACATATGTGGGTGGGGAAATCATAGCACAGACAAAACACAAACTGAGCAATTCTGTAAGATGAAGCCAGGATAAAGTTAGTACACTAAGATGCAAACCATAAGACAAAGTCAAAGAAGGAGAAACACCAGGTGTGAAGATTTACAGTTTCTTAGAAGCTCTTTGACACACGGAGATCTAAAAAATATTTCTGTCATTAAAAGGCATACTGCATGATGTGGTCTACAATGTTCTCCACAGCATCCCCAAGTTAAATACAAAAAAATATATATATATGTTTCATAATACATTTATTAGAGTAGCCCTCAAAGCACACTCTAGGCTATAATATTCCGCAAAATATAGACCCTTCAGGGAGCTACATGTCAAGGCAACTGCCTTACCTACAGTAGGTTGCAATAAATATTTGAGAAGTAAAAACACTTTCAGTACTTGGATCACTATTCATGCTTCAAAGTACGTGTATGAAGCACTGCAACCACACTTCTGTCCAAATGCCTTGTAATTCTGGTACTTTTGCCACCAAACTTCCACCCAACTTACCTTGCTAACTTGAACTTCATTTCCTAGTGCTCAAAGACTATTAGTACATCCTCATAGTGAAAGTCATCATATCGTCTCTTTTTTAAAAAGTCCAGTTTTTCTCAAAAGATGACTCTTAAAGGTGTATCATTAAGCACTCCCATCAAATCACCCATTCATTAGTTTTGGTCTGTGACATCCTCTACTCTGACATTTTTCTGTGCCATTTGTAGCACAATGAAAACCACTTAAACCAATTATCAGAGGCTGAGATTCTAATCCTGTCCCTATTCCTTGGTGGCTGTGTGGCTTTACTTCTCTCAGCCTTGTTTTTCTCATTTGTTAAATGAGAGAGAAGAAAACTCACCACCTAAAAACTCATTTAAGAAATGAATAAAAGACCAGAATAAACAAATGTTGACTCTTATAATTATGAATTAAAGTTACAAGAATGACCTTAACTAGTGGTCATTGACTTGTTTTCCCCTAGAAGTACTAATGCATTACTGCTTCTAGGGGAAAATTACTACTATTTCCCCCTAGAAGCAGTGATGCAATCATCAGCGTGTGTGCTCCTTCACCTGAGGCTACTAGGGCAGTGGTGATGAAGACAGAGAGATTCCCACTGTGAAGCATACTGGATGGATAGGAGTACTTCGTCACGGCTCAGCCAACGTTGCTCAGATCCAGAGAATGAATTCAACAAGCCCGTCTATATCAGTCACTGCATCACGGGGATCTGGTGGACAGCAGGAGCCAGCATCTAAAGAAAACAGGGCTGGAAAATAAAGAGACGTAAGAACAAAAGCAGTGAGTTGAAACAGGACAATAGGGGACAGGCTGAGGAAACTTCTGGAGTGGCAAGTCAATATCCACAACTGGACCTGTTTAGATGGACAGGAAGGGATCACACAGATACTCTCTCACCCAGCTCACCTTACCAGTCATGGTACATACTTGCAAGCCTGCCATGAAACTAGAAGAACAGGGAGGCCAGACCAGTTTTCAAACTCAGACTCACCAAACTGGTGTCCTTCCTGAGGCTCTCAACCTCAGAGTTAAAGAATTTGTTTCTAGCAGTGGTTAATGTGTGAAAGTTTGTAAACGTCTTATTTATATATGTGCTTTAATTACTTATATAAATTAGAATGGAGTTGAGTTTGTCTGAGTGATAACTCCTCTCCTACTGGTATTCCAATGGTTTCTTTGAATTAAACAGAAAGAGTGGGAAAACAGCCAGTGGTCTGGGAATTGCACATAATCTGAGGATTAACCATGGGTGTGACATGACATTAGGGAACTTAACCAGTTATAGAAGGAAATGGTTGGAAACCAGTGCGGGGGCCAAGAAAACTGAGTAGCTTCATGGATATAACACAAGAGATGACATGGAATAGCTGTTGAAGTCCTGCTATGTATTTCAGAGAATCTGGGGAGGTACAAAGACCCCAGTGCTCTATGCTCACAATGGCAACAGAAGGAAGAATCGAGCTAATTACAGATGGTCCTGCATAGCCCTAGACTAATAATGATCCATCGATTCTGATCATAAATCTTTTTCTCCCTAAAAGAACTTTAATAATTTTATAGTCTGGCTTCACTCATTTGGAATTTTTTTAACAGTCATATTCAGATGCTAATTGCAGGAATAGAGAGGTACTTCAACCAATTCTTTTTTTCCAATTCTTTTTTTAAGTGATTCATTTACAATTTATATATTCACAACTTGTGGTAGCCAGCCTCCAAGGTGCCTCCCAGTGATCCCGCTTTCCTGGGTATTCATGCCCTAGTATAGTCCTTTCCTATATCCTACCAGCGTTGGTCTGTGTGACAAATAAAAGACGGCATAAGTGATGATGTCTGCCTTCCTACACTAGGTCATAAAAGATACTGCTGCTTTTACCTTGCCCTCTTGGACCACTTGTTCCGAGAGAAGTTAGCTGCCATGTTGTGAGAAGCTCTCTATAAGCAGCCCTAGAGAGAGTTCCACCTGAAGAGGAATTGAGGCACCCATTTTTCAGCCTCGCAAGTGTACCATGTTGGAAGCAGATCCTCCAGTGCCAGTCAAGCTTGCAAATGACTGAGGCCTCGTGAGAGTTCCCTAGCCAGAAACTCTCAGCTAACCCACTTCCAGAAACCATGTATGATCATAAATGTGTGTTGTTGTCTTCGGTCATTTAATCTGGGATAATTGTTATGGGCAATAGAAAGCGAATATATAACTCATGTGCTAATTACAAACTACTATTATCAGTCATTCAAACCAGAAACCTAAGGACAATTATTTTCTACAACTTAGGAAATATTTAATAAAAATTTGTTGTGAATTCCCCATAAATAGCCCAAATAAATTTCAAGTTTTGTTGTATTTATGTGAATCTGCTCTGACTTTGACCAACTGGTATATTTCTTATTTGGGATTAGAGTCTGTTCTCCATTGGTGGCCTACCAGAGACAAGTCATTGGGAAGTTAGTCTACTGAATATTTGGGTATATTTTGTGATGATATCTAGGCTGTTATTTGGGACATGAATTAATAAGTTATTTGTGATTATTTAAAAAGCCACAGAGTCTCATCAAAGGAATTTATTTTCCTCTCATGAATTTGGCAAAAAGTTTTTATGGTAGCAGGAGGGAATGAGCAGCAAAGGTAATCTCTGGGTATTTTTACCACATCTAAAATAGATCAAAAGGTTTCAGGATGATTCTTCCTGTCTAGCAGAAGTTAGACAGAAAATATAAACCTCAAATTATTATCTCTCACCACGGGAAAGGTGTGAACAAGAAGCAGTGCCAAAAGAAACTTGTTCTGCTTAGGCCAGTACATCATCCTGAGAGACTACAGTCCCTGTTTCCTAGGGCTTCATGACTTAGTTGGATCTGTGAGTTCTGAGAACATCTGACATAGCAACATCTGGGAGGCAAGAGAAAAAACATATTCCAAAGCAAAATATGAACTCTGTTTAGATTGGTCCTATCCTGAATTATATGTTCCCCTTTAATCAGTGCAAATAAGCAAAAGTTAGCAATATTTGCAAAGGTCTTAGTTATGGCTTATTTTCCTCCAGAAAGAATTGTACCCACCAATTACTGACTGGGAAATCAAAGAAACCAAACTGTAATCAAGATTGTTACCCAAAGACCAAAGAAAAGTAGGCTATCCGGAGGATATTTCCCAAATATTTCAGCATAGGTTTTTCCCATATAGTGCTACAGGCCCTTATTATCTAATGAGAATTTCTTTATTTTTCATCCCTCCACCCCCAGGAAGCCCCTTCTGATACCTAGACTGTAAAGAACTCTACTTCTGCTCTCCCTCCACACAATAAGAATTTTGAAGGCTTGGTTCTGTTTAACTCGTTTTAGGGCCTCGGCACCTAGCACAGAGCCTGGCACATGGGAACAAATTATATGTGTTTATCTAAAGTACGTTGAACTCATGATTTTCCTATCATAACATTCTGCTCTTTCTCTGGCAGTGCTTATTTGACAGTTCCCTTTGATGTATTTTCTCTTCCCATTCCCTTTTACAGCTGTCATTCTGAAGGTTTATGTTTTACTGTTTGGATCAGCAGCAGGCAAAAAAAAAAAAAAGTACAAAAATCTCTCCACATTTTTTCCCAGTCTGTGAGAATCTTACCACCCAAAACACTACCATGTAACTTTACACCCACTGGGATGCCTATACGCAAAAGAACAAAACCAAAACAGATCATAACAAGTGTTGGTGAGGATGTGGAGAAATTGGAAACCTGATACATTGCTGGCGGGGATGTAAAATAGTGCGGCCACTGTGGAAAACAGTTTGGCAGTTTCTCGCAAAGTTAATCATAAAAGTACCAAATTACCCAACAATTCTGCTCCTAGGTATATACCCAAGAGAATAAAAAATAGGTCTTCAAACAAAAACTTGTACACAAGTCTTCAAAGCAGTACTACGCACTATAGCCAAAGCTGGAAACAATTCAAATGTACGTTAACTCATGAATGAGTAACAATATGCTGTATCTCCACACAATGGAATATTATTTGGTCATAAAAAGGAATGCAGCTGTAATATATACTATAACATAGATGAGACTTGAAGGCAGTATGTTAAGTGAAGGAAGCCAGTTACAAAAGACTAACTGTTATAAAGTTTCATTTATATGAAATGTCCAGAACAGGCAAATCTATAGAGACAGAAAATAGATTACTAGTTTCTTAGATCCTGGGGGAGGGTGAAAGGATAGGTAATTGATAGCTAAAGGATGAAGATTTTCTCTTTGTGATGATGAAAATGTCCTAAAATTGACGGTGTTGATGGTTGCACATACCTGTCAATATACCAAAAACTATTGAATTGCACATTCTAAATGGGTGAATTATATGGTATGTGAATTATTATTATTATTATTATTATTATTATTATTATTTTGAGACAAGGTCTTGTTCTGTCCCCCAGGCTAGGGTGCAGTGGCACAATCTCCACTCACTGCAGCCTCAGCCTCCCAAGCTCAAGTAATCCTCCCATCTCAGCCTCCTGAGTAGTTGGGACCACAGGTGTGTGCCCTTATGACTGGCTAATTTTTTTTTTTAAGAGAAGGGGTTTTACCATGTTGCCCAGGCTGGTCTCAAACTCCTGAGTTCAGGCAATCTGAGCCACTACGCCTGGCCTTGGTATGTGAAGTATATCTCAAATAAAACTGTTTGTAAAAGAAACTACCATGGGCCAAATGTGGTGGCTCATGCCTGTAATCCCAGAACTTTGGGAGGCCGAGGTGGGTGAATCACTTGAAGTCAGGTGTTCAAGACCAGCCTGGCCAACATGGCGAAACCTCATCTCTACTAAAAATACAAAAACATTAGCCAGGCATGGTGGTGCACACCTGTAGCCCTAGCTACTCGGCAGGCTGAGGCAGGAGAATTGCTTGAACCCAGGAGGCGGAGGTTGCAATGAGCCAAGATTGCACCACTGCACTCCAGCCTGGGCAACAGAGATTGTCTTAAAACACACACACACACACACACACACTACCATATAGCACGAGGGAATTTTGGTGTTGGAATTGTTCTGTATCCTGTTTGTAGTAGTAGTTACAAGACTATGCATGTGTTAAAATACATAGAACTTTGCACTCCCAAAAAGTAAATTTTACTGTATGTTTTTAAACATAAAATAAAATAATAAACCTATTATGTGCCCCTTTATTTGGAATTATAAACTGGGATCCATGGTCAACTTCAATTGAGACTGGTGCAGCTAATTAAAAATTTCTGTGTATGTGCAAAGAGAGCACTTAGACCCAAAGAACCAAGCGTAAACCTATTTCCTTAGCTGCATTCTGCAGCTGAAATCCAGATAAACACAGAGAGATTATCTATGTAATCCTGTCTCCACTTCGTGCTTAAAGCAGAGTTGTTGAATCAGTGGTCCAAGCTTTCATTCCAAGCCCCAGTAACCCCTGATGATTTTTCTGAATTCTCCATTGTACATGTACCAGATATTGAACTTGATCTGTCTCTGCAGAATAACTCAGCAACAGAAAAAAATATATATATACAACCCTTCAACTCCAAACCTTCAAAAGATTCCCCAAGACTTGCAAATGTGAAGTACTGTGGGATACTGCATATTTGCCATCAGGAGCTCTGCATTCTGGCTTTTGGTCAGGGTGAGGAGAGTTTCAGGAGGAACAAGTCCAGAAATGGTGAAAAAAGAGACAAGATGTGGAAAGTGCTCTAGTGTCATAAGGAGAAAGCAGAAGACTCCAGAGACACCTGCTGTGAAAGATCGGA